GTAGAAGCTTGTGGTGCCGGATATAAAACTATTACCTCATTCCTTGTGCTTCGAACGGAGGGTGGTAAATGTTTGGAACAGTCTGTCAGAACAAGTCGTGGAGGCTAAATCTGTACAACATTTCATAATGTTATTGGATATACATTTCATTCGATTCAGAGAACGATTACACACTAGCATTGACATCTTTCATTTGTGAAGCCTGTGAAACTAGGTCAGATATTCTAAACTGATACATATGAACTTGTCGAACGATTCGGTTATCACGGAGTGCAGACACTTTTATGACATTTTTGTCTATATTGCGATGGAGTTGTGCAGATTTATATTTCTATTTGCTCCGACATGCAGTATTCAGTATTCTCCCTTGTAGGCTGCAGAATCGGTGATTCGGTCCAACATTGGATAAGCAATTTCACCTTTAAATAACGTGTTAAATTGAAAGTTTATAGTGCCATATCGGACTCGATTGAAGTTCATTTTGGATCGGGTCCATGTCTACTCTTGAGTCACATCATCCATGTTACTAGGTTGGTCACCACAAATTTCCTGCTCTTCCCTGATACTCTCAATATATGATGGACCATCAATACGACGCCTGACCACGTAACACAACAGGGTGTATAGATAGACGATTCAGAATTTGCTTCATTTCCATATGATTAAGTTTAAGGCATTCGCTGTCATTGTACTCGCGAATATTGCCTTGGGGGATCAGCATGTGCAGCGCACTTCACTTGAATGCGACCTTGACTGTTCAAACGAGGTCGGGAGCGCATCGAAAAAGACGTCTAACACCTTGTCTTATTGCTGTGAGTGTTACTGTGGTTTAACTCTCCATCTTCTCTCAGAGTACGTCGTCTACGTCTAGCAGCCATGGCGAAAATCATGATCTTGCTGCACTCGAGGTTCCACAGCGCAGTGTAACCCGGAGTGTAAAGGGATTGTTTCATATTCCTTACCAACAGATGCTGAATAACCTGGAGGTCTACAATTGACAGTAGCTGCACCTGCGTGGCGAATTGGTAATGTCCTATCTGATCCTGAGCAATCCAAACCACGTTTATCGTCACCTAAAGTTGGACCGCAATACCACATCGAGAGGTGATCAGCTAATGCTGACCACATAGCATAATGATCGGAATGCCTCCGAGATCTCTTTTCTCAACGTGTGTGCCAACCATGGTACATCCTTACCATATACGTTGTTTCTCCTCCTGCATGATTGGTATTCAAAAAACGTGACATAACTGAGACGAGACTGTATTTAAGAGCATGTAGCAAACTTTCTGTACAACTCTATCGAATTATAAACTGAGTATCAACGTACCGCAATCGATGTGTTGTTTAACTTGCTAGTGAGTTCTTCAGTACTTGCTGTAGTGATAAGATACCCATCGATCATGCTGGTTGCCTTTCGAACGGGCGAACTGAAAGAAAGTGGACCGACTGTCTGATAGCTGATCGATCGCCGCCAATCAAGCAGCAGCGCCTACTCGTTTGAGCGAGAATCGCCTTGTAGGTCCGCACAACCAATCGGCTCGATCGACAAATATGCTAAGCTTCGCTAGAGACAGCCAATCAGAGGAGACCAACTCGGAATCGCTCAACGGAGCGTAGTTTGCTCAATACATTATATGTTGCCTTCTGATCATATGGATTCTGGTCACAGCCCAGTCTTCGTTTCGTTTCTCGGTGGGCGTGACACGACATTTAGTTTATTTCGTTGACTTTTTCCGAATTCTTCACCCTTCTGTACAATGAAACATTGGCTTTTTTACCTGTGATAAAGCACCGTTTCCATTGTTTGCTTTTATTAACCCCCGAACTTACAGAAGTGGCCGCATATTCGTTTACGGGGACTATCTTGCCAGCTTTCTTGTACATTAAACTACTTCCGTTTCACATTCACGAATATCGTCTCTTTCTATGCACCCTGGGCAGTTGATACATTTCTTCAGAGGTTCTCTCAATGTTGACCGAATCACAACACAAACCCATAATTATGCGATGATTATCGTTGACTAGTTTGTTTTACTGTATAATTTTCCGCCACGTCGTCCACACTCTTCGGTTTGCCAGCTGTGATTCCGTTTAGGTAATCGGCTGCGCTGCAACCACCGACAAGCGGTGGATCAGGCTGCTGCGACTCGTGCAGTTGTGAAAACAAAAAGGAAACAGTAAGCGCGAAGTTACTGGTGAGAATCCCGAGAAATATTAATCGTAGGCTGCAGACCAGCATGGCTTAAGATAACATGTGAGAGAATGCATTGACTTCGCGATTGGATCAAATCGGATAAGGTCTATAACCACTGATGTAGACTAGCCCGGGATCCAAGAAGATGGTGTCCACCAGCTGTTGGATCATCCGCTTGTCCTTGTACTACTTCATCATTTGGTCAGTTGGAGACTCTATGCATCCGGGCATTCCAACTGCAGTCAGCGCACACTTGGGTAGGCTGCCGGTGGGTGTGCGTCGAATGTGACCTAAGTACTATGAACGGTGCATACTTACATTTGTTCCAACACATTGCAAAAGCGTTTACTGGTCGAACAACAACATGCAGAGTGTGTTTTATTTCACCTCGGCTCGAACACGATGTGCAGAATGGTTCACAGTCATAGTTCTTATTTCTAATCCTCACAATAGTCCTGACTGCACCTTGATGCTGTGCACTCTGCCCTCAACTTACCGTCTAATATCCAACCGTCACAATTTCCTATGAAGCTCTTGGAGTCTATGCTTACTTTAACGATGCGCACACATACTTTTTCGGAGTTTTATCTGACATAGGTGTTGCGAGTACCTAAATAAGCAACCCAGTTTACCAATCCCGGTAGTTTGGCGATAATGAGAATTGATTATGACTCGATCCAGTCCTGCAACGAACTCCCTCCATCTTGAAACTGCAAAGAAGCGACGCTTCAATCTGATCCACGGCGCTTGCATGGCAACCTGTTCTGACCTCAACAGACATACACATACGTGCTCTAAGTTTGTGACTCAATCATCTGCTGCGATCTCCACTTCGGAAATAAACGAAGAAACAGAGTCGTTTTTAGTCATTTTAGTCTCATGGCTGTAGTAAAAGGACTAATAAAACACTCTTTATGTAGCTTGCCTGTCTCTGTGAGCTTATGAGATTCTTTTTCCGTTGGCTTGCACATGTTCTTGGAAAGGGACAGTTCGGTCCATTTAGTTTCGTATAATCTCATTTAAGCGACGACTTGTGGTCGGACCCATCACATTACCCCTTGTGACTACGGTAGCATAACAGGAATTAAGCGAAATATAATCCGACAAAGGCAACCAAGCCAACTACGATTCAAGAACTATGTTAGATCAATTGAAAGACATCGTTAAAAGTCAAGTCACTGGTCATACCGTGCCTACTGGGATCTCTAACCACTGGTGTGGCGGATTTTGATGCTCCCTACCTAGTGGGGTGATGAATTATTCGGGGACAAGTCACTTTCGCGCTTTTTCATCAAGACCAAAACCGAGTTCGGTTTAACCGAATCATGCATCCCAAAGCGTGCGCAAGAATCATCCCGGTCGTCTCCTGTGGTTCCGCTGTAACAGAAAGTTTACTGTTGCACCAGGCATCTATTTACAGTCCCGGTTCGTATGCTTCCGTATCACCTAGCCGTTGTTCTCATTACATCGCTCAGCTCTTCAGAGTCTTCTTATCGAGGAATAGACTACTAAGCATTTTAGTGCACGGGGTGGTCAGGTCTTACTGTGCAAAGTTACCCCGGCTGCCCAACACCGTTATACACTCTGCCCTTGACCACCTGTGGGTTGGCAACATGCGTATTATTGCACCAATTATCTCATAATCTTCCTTGTGACCTTCATTGTGTTTCATGTCAAGTATCAAACAGATGCTGAAATCATGTGCTAATGCCCGGCGACTAATGTATCCATGCGTTACACGTAACGTCCTCTGATTTAACTTACCAAAGCACATGCAGATACTAGTACACCGCTTGACATCAAATCTCGAGGACGTCCAAACCAACTATCTTAGGCCGGTCTTCCTTCTCCATCAACCACTAGAGTATCGGGGATAGTCTGCTCGTTCCGCCCAGGTGGCGCTGGTTCACGTTGATCTCATCGAAAAGTATTTCTTTCAACAACTCCGGACCATCACAGTGTCGTAAAGCGACAGACATATGCGTCCGATGTTTTAGCTGGTGGGCCTTAATTGGGTTATCTGCCGATGCTCCTCCTAATTCTTTTCCTTCTTGACTATTCTTTCGGTGATCTTCGTAATCTGCTGTGTGTATCGCAAGTATCGTACATTATTCTATCTACTCTTGTTCGCATCAATGACAACGGGCCATTCATTCTGTTCATTCTTATTCATATGCCTGGTTATTCGTCTTCCAGTGCACATTTTTTATCAACTTTTCTTACGTCTCCCCACAGAACATTCCACTAGTAGACACCTTTGCTGTTCGCACATTTTCATACTCTGCTTCATCTGCGTTGAAGGTTTGGCTGGAAATCTCGGCCGGCATCTGGCATGGCACCCAAGTGTTCTTCACATGTGGTCTGTGTGCTCGCATTGGTGAGCACACGATGATGGCTGAGACTGTTTGCCAACTGAATCACTTGTTCTTCTGTGTGGAAGTTGGGGCACAGTTTATCAACACGGATGATGCACAGAATCATTTACATGTATCTTCTCCGATCCACGAGGGTGCCGAGACCGTAACTAAGCACCCGATCGTATTTTGGTGCGGTAGTTTTTCGACACTCATTCCACCACTTAATTAAACATGAACAGGCGCTTCACGCACGTCCTCAGTTTCAACCATTTAAGTAACTGTCATAAGCTTAGCATTTTTCCGGTATGCAACTCCCCCCTTGATGTCGGTGCGAGAATAGGGAGCGGTTTAACCTCGCTGATACTGCTGGTTTGCTTGCTTCTATCCTAAAGCAGGTCTTTTCGCCTGACTTATCTTTGATCCGTTCTTTCTCATTTTGTTTTTAGAGGGCGCTTGTTGAAACGAACCCTTACCTTTTGGCACTTACTGTGATCGTATCCATAGTCCATAGCGTCTTCGAACTACTGGCGTTTAAGAACGGTAAGTTATTCACTATACTTGTATCCTTCTTGGTTCCGTACACTCCCCGGTTGGTATCGAATGTCTGCCTACGGAGTGTCGAAAAGAGGCCTGTTAGAATGCCAAACGTTATTGCGCACACCAAGAAGCAACTGGTGCCTCAGGGCTACCAAATCGGTTTCCGCCACAATGCACTCTGTCTATCGATTTGTTTGTAACTGTGGAGGCAGTTACATTGGCAGAACAGATCGTTGTTTGTGTAAGCGGATTGGTGAGCACACTCCAAAGTATCTCACCATCATAAAAAAGCAAACAGAGACGAGACTTGTGTCGATGATCACCAGCCACATGGTTGAAACGGATCATCAGATCGATTCCAACTCGGTGTTTAGTGTCCTCTATGGTAACACAAACTCCAGAGACATTAAGTTTGCTGACGCAGTTACCATAGACTAGCATCGTCCAGCATTGCATCCAAAAGCAACTGTTTATCAAGATCAAACACTCTTGGAGTTCGTAATACCTTCCTAACTTTTACCCAGCCTCTTACTTTCGCTTGCATGTCACTTACCGATTTCAAATGGTAGGTTTGTTGCCACGTTAGCAAGCGAAATGGTACCATTTTGCAACACGCGTCTTATTCCATTCAAACCCACAACTGTAGTCTTTCTTCATATAGTTTTTAAAGAACATCTTCCCTGCCATATAAGTGCATTTGGCTCACTGAGCAGTTTCTTCCTCTTTTCCCCAATTTTACGACGATATCTCCCATGGATTTAGGCCATTGTGATCGTCCGTTGAATCGATCCTTCTTTCTCCTACTCTTGTTTCTGTGTCGACGTTGTATGGCTTTGCTCGAAACTGCTGTCAACTTGGTGATCCCTTCCTTGTTATAATGATAAATTCCGATCGAGCTGTTGAATAGCCTTCCAAGGATAGCACAAGTGCTTTGCTGCGACCGAACCTCAGTTTCCATGAAACAGTTTGTCATCCGGGATCTGTACCTTATTTTACTGTCTCACCATTGATCCGATCCCCACCATCTGTCTACTTTGTACTCAGCACTAATCCTTTGCTCATGTCGTTTGGCTGGATGCTGCTTAGCGTTTGGTACAACACGGGGCAATCGAATTTCTCCGTTCTCCAACGTCATTGTGTTTCTGCTTTATACTGGAGCCATCCTTTTACCACTGATTTTGTTCAACTGATTATACCATTGATTAAAACTCTATTGACAGCTGAACAGTTTTGTTGACGCCAACGCTTTTCTGCCCGATCTCTGATCCTTCAGTCGAATTTACACTTACCTCCGCCAAGTGCCCAGCGAATAACGTCTCTTTCTTGCTTATTGCTGATATTCGTATTTTGCATGTGACAGGGCTTCGTACTATAGCATGCATTCTTAACTTGGTCAAGATCACGCCATGGTGATTGCACACAACTTAGGTAATTATGCACTTTATAGTAGCGGGTGGGTTTTCTCATCCTCCTTGACCATTCTTTTAACTGGCTTGTGGTATTTCATACATCTTTTAAATCATCTAAACACACCTAATCGATGGAATCAGCCTTATTTCTCCATATAACTAGGCTTGTGCAGTGCGCTCACTCATAGTTTCTGCTTTTTATTTTCAGGGTCGTTGCACGGCAATGAATTATTAGCGCACAGCACTGATGCATTTCTGTAGTCTGAGGTGATAAAGAACATGCTTGGCGTTATAACCTTTTGACCTCTAAACTTTGGGAAACTTATTTTAAACTCTCATTCTCGTCTCACTCCGATTCACTTGTAGATATCCAATTTTGGAGAACCAGGGAATCGTTGGAAGGCTTGTCAGTTCGTTCGGTATTCTTCAACGTGTTCCAATCCCTTGTTGTGCTTCTCTATGTGTTGGATAATGACACAAATTTCGTCATCATTGTGTCCGTCTTCCTCGGTCTTGGCATCGAGGTTTGGAAGATTAAAAAGGTCATGCTTATTGAAGTACGTTTCGACTTCCTCTGAATTCGTTTCCATTCTTGTTGTGCATGACGGTTTTATAGCATAGCTGTATTGTGCGTAGTCCAACAGCATGCTCTTCAGTCAAGCATTTGTCTAATGTATCTGCTCTTTAATGGCGCACCTTGCGGGTTCTGTTGCACCTTCTGGTCCATGCCTAAAGATTGTTGTTTATGACGACAAATATGAGGCTAGATTACAACTCACAATTGAGATATCAAAAGCATCTGCTTTATATAGTTTACGAGTGTTTCACTACGAGTCACTTCGTCCCCACCCGTTTTCATGTTTCAGTGGCGTTCTATGCTCTGTTGCACAGTGGGTGTTGACCCGTAGCCTTAAAGATCACAAGGACGCAAGTTTGAGCCTGCGTAGGGACCTGGCGACCCTCGTAGCGTCGTTATCCCACGTGCGGTTGGTGGCACTGCACGGCAACGGAGAGTCGGTATTGCGTGTCAGCGTACTGCTAACGCCATCGAATGGTTGCCGTGTTACCGTCTACTCAGCATTCTGTCACACGGTGTTACACCAGTCTTTAAACTGCGTAATCCTTGAGTAGGTTCGTTGTGCATTAGATTCGGAGCTTAAAAAGTTTACGATCTATAGATGTATTGTTTTGCATTACGACTGACGTGGATCATAACCTTACACTTTCTCGGTGGTAAGGAGCGCCCTACATAGATCCCATACAGTTGATCATTTACGTGATATGTCACAGTTACCTTGAATGCACGCTATAATAATAGTGTTTTTATTTATTCTCGGCTTTTCACACGACACGCATGTAAATACATACTTAAGGAACTACATGCACTGGTAGCGGACATATCCCAGTTCGTTCAAAAAGTGATCCGTCTCTTACTAGGGCATCCGGTTTAACCTAACGCGGATATCACGCAACGAACCGTGGTTTACCTTGTGGTTTTACACTTTAATTGCAGATTGACTGGAACGCGCGTGTCTTTGGTATATTTCCCCACGTCCACATTGAGTACCAGTCTTCTTACGTGGAAACGGACACAAAGAAATATGATCAGGTAAGGATGTTCTCGCAACACCCATTATTTTGTTTTGTGCCTCACTACTGACATATTATCAATAGTTCAAACTGCATGCAAATGAGCACATCATGGTAATAGCTCTTATGGTCTGCTCTGTGAAACGTGTCCCTTTCCTCCACTCGTCAGTATTTTCTGTCACACCGGGGCTAATATAATTGCGTTTGTTCTTTACAGCTGGCTTTTCGCTATCTCTCGTGGGTCCTGTTTCCAATGCTGGCGATTTATTGCGGTTACTCACTGCTCTATTTGGAACATCGGGGCTGGTATTCGTGGGTTTTGTCAATGCTGTACGGATTCCTCTTGACATTTGGTGAGAGCTACAAGGTTTACATTTGCCATGAAACGCTTTCATTTTGATAACCAGTGAAGTAACTTGTGATGCACTGCTCCTCGCGTTCGATCAATATTTCATTATCCACTCATTCATCCATCCAGGTTTCATCATGATGACGCCTCAATTGTTCATCAATTACAAGCTGAAGTCCGTCGCTCATTTGCCTTGGCGGATGCTCACCTACAAAGCACTGAACACCTTTATCGATGATTTGTTCGCCTTTGTTATCCGGATGCCCACACTATATCGCATTGGTTGTCTACGTGACGGTACGTACATGCTTATATTTTCTGTTTCTACAGATGTTTCCGGAAGCATCACACATGTCATGCAACTGTTTAGACTACTCTAATTTGGATTTGGAGTACACGCTGTGTGTTTGGATTGCGAAATGCAATCTCCATCGTGATCTCGGTCTACTTTAATCTGAACTTGGTCGCGATGAGACTGAACCCTAGCGTGGTACGATAGTTTATGTGCCTCAATGACCCATTACTGGTGTTGCTTTTTGCACTTTCAGAGCCACTCATACCAGAATGGTCATTGGTTAGAGGCCACACAAAGTCTCCTGCCCCTCCAGCTTGGGATTCGGAGTGTGGGTGGCTCCTTACTCCATAAAACGAGCTGTCTGTAGTCCAATGCCAAAACTCCGCTGCTTTGCCGTAAGATTTTTGAAACAGGCTTTCGTTGAGAACCCCATCCTTCTCCTGTCTACGCCTGGGCCATCTGATAGTATCCTGCCCACACAATGCACCATGACTTTTCCTTCTAACAATCTCTTGATGCTCTGCCCGTCGCAGAGGATAATAAACGGCGCCCTATCTGCTGCATCGAGCAGGGTGGATAGGGGTTTGGATGCTACTGCTCAGGCCTTCCCGTCTTCTTATCCCCTTCTTGCGCTCTTTCATCCCTAGCGTTCCGTTCCAAATTCACTTTCATCCCCCGTTTTCAATCCCTCAATTCTTGGCCCTCCCCTACCTTGTTTGAATAATCACCTGTCTTCTAGTTTCAACTCACACACAATCGCAGGACGTTGCTCCAATCCAGTCGACAAGTCCATGTTCAACCAACCGGACAGTGTCAGTTCATCCGTTTCTTTTTGGAATCCTCGCTAAGACTGGCATGCCTCAGCGTGCGCACTTTGCTACAGATTGGCCAACAGGTAGCCCAGATCCTCTTGATCCCTATTTGCTGTTTATCGGAAACCCGCCTACAAGATCCATGCTCCGTGGTTAGTTTGCGGTCCCCCACATGCGACACTGGCGGCACACTCTCGTTGCGCTTGTTTGGCGATGGCGCAGCTTCAAATGCAGGTCAAGCTGGTGTCGGCATTGTTTTGAGTCCCCGGGCTGAAGCTTCCCTGATCGACTGGATCCCTGTCAACAGCCGGATGTGCGATATCAGGTTGGCTGGCGCGTTCCAGGCATTGAAGTTGCGCAGGGACAAAGGGTGCCTGTTTATCATTGCGGCTTACGCCCCCACAAACTGCAGCCCTGATTCGATGAAAGATAATTTCTAAACCAACTTAACGGTCTTCTTCGTTACAGAAGAAGCACGGATACTGTGGTGCTTGCTGGTGTTCTAAACGCCCAAGTCGGAAAATTGTCCTCTGATGAGCTTCATCTGGGTGGCCAACATGGTGTAGGCTCCCGTAATGATAACGGTGAGCGGTTGCTACATCTGTGTGAAGGTGCTCGTCTCTTTCTCGCGTGCACTAGCTTTCGACATAGCACCCACAGAAGAGCGACTTGGCGCCCACCAGTCTGGGACCAGACATGGGCGCAAATTGATCACGTCGCAATTATTTACTACTGGAGAGACTGTATCCAAAACTATCGCTCCATTTGGAGCACGATCATGGACTCCGATCACGCTCTCGTGTGTGCCGACCTTCGGGTGCGCTTCGGCAGACGTCCGCAACGTCGCTCTGAACGCATTGGTACAAGCAACTGACTAAGCCAGGTGTTCTGAATGCGTATCAAACTATGCTGGCATCTGGGCTGAGTAAGATTCCACTAAACACCGTCAAATATCACTGGTCGCATATTCGTCAGACCTTACTATCAGCAACCATGTCTTCATGTGGCAAATTCAATTACCAACCTAGACATTGGGTCTACAAAATCTCTGGAACTTATGGATGCTCACCGACGTATTCCGGGTGGAAGTGAATACAATGAGACACGCAAAATAGGGCAAAACTGCCTGCTATCTTGAAGAGAGACTGCGATGCCTAGTGGTCTCATCTTGCATCGAAAATGGGAACAGCCACTGCCGTTGGTAATCATCTCATGTTATTTCGTCTGATACGGGAAATAGGCAGCAAGAGACCTGTTGTTAGCGAGACAATACGCGGCGCGAGTGGGCAGCCGATCCACAGCTTGTCAAAACGCTTGTAGCGTCAAGGCGAACACTTTGGAAGGCAATTTAACCAACCAGAGTTGTCGATTTTTTTCGGACATTGAGTACCCTCCTCCATAAGCCGTCTCCTTAGATCCGACCTCACGAGCAGAAGTCGAACGTGAGATAAGAATGTCGAAATTGCATAAAGCCACATGGTCGATAGAATTGCCCCAGCCCTCTTGAAATTTGGAGACCTGCTCTTGTAGTTGACTTACACGAGATGCTAATGCACTTTTGGGAGCAGAAAACAGTCCCGATAGACTGGATCCGCTCCGTCATATTCCCAATTTTCAAAGGAAGCTCCCGTTCGGAATGCGGCAACCATAGAGGGATCAGTCTGATTTCACTTGTATCTAAATTACTTGCCTCGTTCCTTCTCCACAGACTGACTGGCGCTCGTGAAGGCCAGATCCACGAAGAGCAAGCCGGGTTTCGTCGAAATCGAGGCTGCATCGCTGACATCTTCACTTTGCGTCAAATGTTGGAGCACTGTCATGTTTATTGGCGACCCACCGTTGTCCAGTTCCTCTTCATCAACGGTGCCTTCGATTCGCTAGATCATTTTGCCATTTTGGACTGTCTTCTGAGAAAATGTGTGCCCGATAAATATGTAAATCTTATCAAAGCGCTGTACGCGTATAGTTCGGGCAGAGTGAGGGTTTATAGCAAACTGTCGCCTTCCTTCCATAGCTCCAGCAGTGTGAGACAAGGTTTCCCGCTGTCACCTTTCCTCTTTAACTTCGCCATTGATGTAGTCATGGAAACAGCGTTCACTGGACACGATCTAGAAGATGTGGAGCTACTTCCTGGTGAACGACTTCTTGACTTGGCGCATGCGGCGACATTGCCCTCATATGTGACAGCGCCCAAACGTGCCAGGCTTCACTGGACCGAGTAGCACTGGCTGTCAATCGTTTTTGGCTATGCTTTGCTCCATCGAAATGCGAAGTTCTTCACCAGGATTCGCTTGGACCCACTACTGCGCTAACGCTTTGTGGTGATCAGCTAGGCATCGTTCAGGAATTCAAGTACCTGGGCAGCTATATTAGCGCCCCTGGGATCGAAATTGAGATTACGAACCGTATAACAAAATCCCTAAGTGCTTTTGCCAACCTCCGCCACCTGTGACGCAGACGCGACATCAGTATTGCCCTAAAGGGCAGAGTTTATAGTGCAGCCGTCCCTTCAGCCCTCTTATACGGTTGTGAAACTTGGCGCATCAGATCGACAGACATAAAGAGGCTAGCCACGTTCGATCATCGCTGCCTTGGCAGCTTAGGTCATGTCTGGTGGTAGCATCGCGTAACCAATGGTGCATGAGGATCGAATGAACCTCTCAACGCCATTATATCGTGCACCAGGCTCCGATGACTGGTCCACGTGTTGCGTATGCCAGCACACCGACTTCCGCGACGTGCATTGTTTGCGCGCCGGGTGTGCGGTTGGAAGAGTAAGAGGGGAGGCCAAGCGATGACTTGGTGGAGAGAAAAGAAGGCCCTCACTTCGAAGTTGGTGTCGGTTGGTGCACCTCGGCTGCCTGGCTGGGGTTCGAAGCACGATGAACACGTTTGGTTGGATACGTTTCTGATATGGTTTGGATCCGGCCCCAATGGCGTTTGTGTTGTTAGTTCCCTTGTCCACCTCCTCCCTTTTATATTCCACCTCCAATCACGATATTATTCGTGAGGCGTAATATAGCTCTCTTTTCGTGGCACGATAGCGGGCTGTTAGCTCTTCGGAACGATGTCCATCCGTTACTGGGGACTCCGCCGATGTGCCTCTTTGGTTTTTTTCTTGTCTTTTTTATTGCGTCACAATAGCTGAGGTGTTTTCCACCTGCAGCTAACGTGTAATGATGATGATGATAATGAACTTGGTCATCCCGATCACAAGTACCCGTATCTAAAGCGGAGACTACTGTTTGATGAATACTTGCTTATTCTTCCCTTGGTATCTCCGAACATTTTGAAGTTTCGAAAATTGTGATAGACGAAATCTTTACTCTGGGTATCTAACCTATCCACTGCGTGTTGGCGACCTGTATGGCCATGGAGGGTGAGCACTCTGCATCATGGCAAACTATTCACAAACATCCAAAATTAATCTTCCGTCACCCATTGGATATCCGATTTACACGTACTTCGGTCCATTGGGAAGTGACGGTTAGGTGAGCCAATCTGCAACACCAGGACAGGTACTGTGAGCTCATTGCAATACGTCGCGCACCAAGCAGAAGTCATGTATTAAAATTTGCGCACCTAATCGTCAGCCCTCGGTAGCTCAGTGGTAGAGCAGCGGACCGGAAATTCGTGGACCGGGGTTCGATTCCCCGTCGAGGCATATTATTGTGCGTGAATTTTTAATCGTGACTTCTACTTTCCACTAACTTTACACTACTCACAAACATCCAAAATTATTCGTTTATTGCTGTCCGTCATCATGCTTTATGACCCAGTTGGTTTGAGTCACCGCTCCGCAAAACTGTAGTAGTTGCTCTGGGTCCCAGATGAGATAAACAAAGCTGACGAATTACAGTGGGATAAAATGACCCTCCATCTGTACTCCGGATATATCTGATAGAAACTGGCTGCCACGTAACACCTCAAAATTACTATCACTTAAAGGAAAATGATATGTGGCCAGGGGACGACCTTGCTCCGTATTCAGACTACTTTGGGCTGATGGGCTCGAAATCGCCACTTGCTTTATTTAAGCTTGTGCGAAAATATCTTAAACCACTTTTTATTTGCAACGAGCCTCAATCGATTAGTATCCAAGTAGACTTTTTCGCTCTGCGTCACCATGGCACCTATCATAATAACCCGGGGGGCTGTATACCTATGAGATTCACTGAATCTATTTAGGA